CTCATTCCATGCGCTGGAAAGACATCTCTGAGCTTTGGAAAGACTGACTAGGACTTGATTAGTAAAAGTACCTGGATTTTGGCCCTGGGTTAATTCAACAAAGATATATCGACCAGCTACTATGTGCCAGGTCATCGTTTAGGTGACTGGGATACATCAAAGATCCCCACCTACCCTTGTGGAGCTGAGGGACACGCGTGGCAGAGATGGATACAGTTACATAAAAATAAGTAGAATAGTAACCCCAGTGCTGTAGAGAAAAGGAAAGGAAGGTATGAGAGGGATTGGAGTGCCAGAGGAGGGGCAGAATGCAGTTGACAGGGAGAATTCATCAAGAAAGTGGGAAATGACCCCAGATTTGAAGAAGGGGAGGAGATTAGCAGAGAGAAACTTCCCCCATCAGCCATGCCACCTGGGACAAGCAACATAAAAGCTGTGGGTCTTGATTTCCTCATTGGTATGATGGGATATTGATCTAGATGGTCTACACTAGTTCTTTTTAAGTTCTTAAATCCCATAAATGACGATTTAACTTCTGCCAACATTACAGAACAGAAGCAGTCATATAGTGTTCATCCAGCCTTCACCATGTGTCACTAAATGCTATGAATGCCACAGGATTTCAGAAGTCCTCATCATGATAGTAGTCATTTGGAAGTATCTCATTACACTCCTTCATTTTTCGACAAACATGTTAAGCACCTACTGTGTGCCAAGCACTACTATACAGTTAGGGTGTTCCAAAGCGCACAGTGTGATGAGGCAAGGGAGGCGTGTTAGCTCAAAGGGACACATGTTACACTGGAGCAGAGGGGTTTTTTGGGACACACACTGGATGGAGGGGCCAATCACACTGAATGGGAGTGTCCACTTCCCACGGGGCTTCCAGATATACATTATTTTTTCCTCTTATTATCCTTTCAAAAAATTTAAAGTAGCTTATATGTGTTCACCTTACATATTACTTAAGTTTGGAAAGCTTCAGTTTCCACAAGGAAAGTAAAAATGATCAGATGATGGGGAAATCTTAAATTGTGAAATTAAAGAGGACAAAGAAGGCAACTTAGAAAATATTTACATCCTTAGAACTAAGGTAATGATATGGTTCTGTTAACAAATGAATTTGACAAGTTGACATCTTTCCACCAGTATTTGTGCTCCCTTTTATGTTTAAAAGTCATTTTTTTTGGTCGCTGTTATTATTTTCATTAATATTTCCCCATGTTTTTATTTAAATTCTAGCTAGTTAAAATATAGTGCAACATTAGTTTCAGATGTGGAATTTAGTGAATCAATACTTTCACACAGCACCCAGCGCTCATCACAAGTGACCTCCTTGATCCCCATCACTCATTTAACCCACCACCCCCAAGCCCATAAAAGTCAGTTTTCCATGACGGTTAGGAAGTAATAACCGTGACAACAACAACTATTATCTATCAGGAGCTTATTGTTTGCCAGGCTCAGTACTAGGCACTTTTCTATGTATTATCTAATTTAATTCTCACAGTGCTCTGTGGAATCTGTGATCATGCCCAGTTTTCTAGATGTGGTAACTGAGACTTGAGATGAAGTTAGTTGTCCAAGGTCTAAAACCAGTAAGTGGCTGTAAGGCTAACAATCTTGAACTTGCCATCAGAACACATTTTCTTGAACACCAGAGGCAGGAAGTGCTGGCTCTCTGACCTGGGTAAGGTCAAGCACTTCAGTATACAGTGTAACTGTAACTACTTTGCTTTTCACATTGGTTAATGGGCAAGTGGTTATAACATTTCTCTGCTGTCTTAAGACTTGTAGTTTAAAAAGTGTATTCATCACCTCTGAATTTTTATTGGAAATTAAAAGTCTACACAAAGTGTTTTTGGACCTAATCCAAATATGTTAAAAATTGTGCTTCTGTATGATTTGGTACTCCATACAAAATTCTTCCTAATGATCTCAAGTTTCAAAGGATTTAGAAGTTGTTTAATGAGGCACCTTATGAAATGAGGAGTCTAATCCATTAGTTGAGAGTGTTAGGGAGAAGACATTAGCTAAAGCTATCTCTTCTTGTAGAAGTAATTGAGGAAATTACCCTTCCCTAACACTGAGGACAGTGTATGATATACAAGTGAATATACTGACTACGCATTTTCAACAGACTTCATGGACAAGTGGAATTTGCTTTCTCGTGTAACCAAATTGATTGAACAAAAAAAAAAAATAAAAATAAAGGGAATGAATTAGTACTCATGCAATTTTATTTAAACCTGTGTTTTTCCCCATGGGAAGTTGGGAGAGTTCTCATCACGAGAAAATGCTTTTCACTAGAAACGCTTTGCACAGGGACCTCCCCTTGCTGTTTTCCCCCCCCGGTAACCTGACTTTTTTATTTTTATTTTTTAACCCAGATTAAGTTTCTTGAGCCTATATCTCTATGAAAGTTCCCACAACAAAACTGGGAGGAAGCCCTCAGAAAAATAATTAGGTAACTCTTAGGCATGTGACTCAAGAATGTCTTAAAGTGTTGAACATCTTTATCATGGCAGCCAAGGAGAATTCGAGGATGGTGGGCATTATTCCTCTGGTATTATTTAGGCCTGGAGAACTTATAGTACAAAAATAGAAACAATGAAAAATGGGAGATAGAAAAATTGTTTTTGTAGTAACATGAATTTTGAACAATTTTCTTTTTTTTTAAAGATTTTTATTTATTTGACAGAGAGATAGCGAGAGAGAGGGAACACAAGCAGGGGGAGTGGGAGAGGGAGAAGCAGGCCTCCTGCGGAGCAGGGAGCCCGATGCGGGGCTCGATCCCAGGACCCTGGGATCATGACCTGAGCCAAAGGTGTCTGCCTTAATGACTGAGCCACCCAGGCGCCCCTGAACAATTTTCTGTCACTGAGAGAAGCTCATACTGCTTATCAGTCCAATTCAGGAATTTGAGATTTAGATTACTAATTTAATCTTCTGACTGTAAAATTCATATAAAATTTTAGGAGGATTTCAGCTCCCTTAAATTCCTTCTGGGCCAAGTTTGATAAATAACAGTTTTAAATGTGAGAAAATAATATAGTATTTCAGTATGTAGTAGAGGTCATCTGCTTCAGTGATTATTTACTGGGCTCTATGGTTCACTTTTGCATTATAAAAGACCACTGAAATTATGGCAGACCGTTTGGAGGTATTTCTCTGAAGGACTGAAGAATATGAAAGTTCAATCTGAATGCAATCATAAAGGAAAAAGAAAATGTTTTATTGAATAAAAATAACGATGATGGGTATTTAGAGTAATTTTAAAATAAATTTCGACTTAACAGATGTAGCATCATAATCTTGTCCCAAATCACATTTCAATATCCCCAGCTTCCACAAGCAAAGTATAGACCTTGTAGTTTTATTACTTGAAAGCTGTGAGTAACTTTCTAAGCATATGAATTTATAATTAAAATGAAGTGGACTATTATGTCACTTAAAAAATTGTGTAGTATATGCAAATGATCTGGATAATTCTGATCATTTGTGTCAAAAATGCCTTTGCACTAAATTTCAGCAGAGTATATGGGGTTGGAAAGGCTGGAGCAACAGAACTTTTCCTCACTGAGAACACTTGAGTCTGACTTACAGACTCCCCAGGAGTATTTTAAAAATGATATTTTCATACTCTGGGGGCAATTTAGACTAAATGTTTTATACATGGTTAATAATGTAATAGGAATTTAATAATTACTTGAAACCACAGCCAAAATTTATTTTACAGAGGATTTAAAACTGCTATTGTTAACGAGTAGGTATTACTATTTTGGCTGAATTGAATTCTACAATTAGATGTTAAAGGATGTTATCCCTCCTCAAGAAATCTCTGTGTGTAAATACCGTAAAGCCTTTGGAAGACAGCTTGGATTCTACTATACACATTAAAAGAAATAGCTGAGTCAGCAGCTTGCATAGTAAAATTTACAATTATATAATTCCTTTTCACGGTCCAACATTGGAAAACATAAAGCTGTGGGAAGCAAAGAGAACTGTAAGAGAGATGTCTAAAATAGCTAGACATTGTCAAATTCAGAATTCTATTTGTGTAGTCATAATATAGGCAGGAAAATACTTCTAGCAAGACTTACACTATCATTTGACCTTCACAAATCATACTTTCCAACAGTGGATGGCAGTTTTCTGAGAGTACACTTTTGACCTTGAAGATATAACTTAATGTTTTATGTCTCTTGGCAAACTTAGAATGCCTCTTGTCCCCAAACTGAGTTCATCTAAAATTAATATCATCATATGTTTAAGCTGTTATGGTCTATAATTCTTATTTGAATTATTCAGCATCCAAGGGCAAAGAGAGACACTACAGCTCCTTTAAAACTCTCTTTTTCTTATTGCATAAGTCTCTCAGCTTTCTTAATGCAGGATGTCCCTCATCTGAAGCTGGGACTGAGGAGACAGCTGCATTTTACTGCAGCCTCAAATCTTGCTACAGCTCTCAGGCTTAGCATTCAGCCGAGCTGAAAAGAAATATGCAGGAGCAATATACTGGTGGATGGGAAACTAAAGCTTTAACAGAGGAGAGTGTCAGAAAGTGAGTTAATCTCTCTTGAACCTTAGCTTGTCTCACTTTCATTTTCACATTGTTTTTCTTGATGATCACTCTCACAGAATGACCTTGCATCCTAAGTTTTACTTCCTCTGGCTCCCCCCTCTCGCTTACGTTTAAATAAATTGATGCCCTGCATTCTACTTAGAAGATAGCAACTGTACTACAAAGCCTTGAACAATGGCATCAACCCCCCTGCAGCTGGACATTCGTAAGCCATTCCACTTTAATCATCCTCAATTCTTAACCCTACTGTAATGCAATAGCAGTCAAAAGCCGGAGAGCATGTTCATCAATTAACAGAAAGGAAAAGAAAAAGTCAATGCAGCAGAACTAAAATTGAGAAGCACCAACCAAACATCCCAACTCCAAGTGACTTGAAATTAATTTGACTTTCATAAGAGAAACTGTGTTTTCTTACCTTGGACGTGAATAACTCTGTCATGATCTAGAGTATAGTTGTCTGAATGATGATCAGCCCAGCAGATTGAAATCAGCACCAGAAGAAGTAGACTCTTCATCTTTATAACCCAGGGAGTCTTCTTCACTGTGAGAGCATCACATACAAAGAGGCTTGTGAGATTTGGAACCCTTTGGAGTGTTGCACTGCACTACCTATTACCGCCTTATCATCATAGAATGGGTCTGTAAAAATATTTAACCCAATCTGTTCAGAAAGTTACTGTAGCTGTCTTTGGGAGCTGAAGACTGCAGCTTTGAACAATTCCAGTTTCCCTTATGTAGCCAGAGTCCAAACAGTGTTTAACTCTATCTTTGCAGAATTGTAAATCTAGAAATTTAAATCAGTGTTGTTTTGATATAAAGAGTTATAGTCAGTTACAAAAAGATATGGCAATGATATAGAAAGACTTTAAAAAATATTTAAATCTCTGAATTTGAAGTATTACTTGACAGAACAACCATTTGATGTATCTATAGAAGAGTAATCGCTGGTCTAATTAGAATCTTAAACCAGGGCAAATAAAGAATATGTGCTTGAAAGTTGACATCATCATTCTTTTTACATGTAGCTTCCTGAGCAGGTTAGATTTGCTTGTTCTGAATAAAAAAAGAAGACCAAAAAAAAAAAAAATCCCTGGTGAAGCAAAAGCAACACATTTATTACAGATTCACTTACCATCTTAAACCGTGCTTGGGTCGATGGTGAAGAGTTGAAAATGAGAGACAAACTAGGTTCGAGTTGTGCATGCTACCACTGCAGTCATCCTGATTGATTTTTCATTCATTTCTACCTGAAATGCTGACGCACCAACTCCAAGCGCCAGGTAGGGTCTCTGCAGTTGGTAGAGGCACAGCCGGCTGCAGGCAACATCCCTGCCAGCCTCCCGGGCAATAAGGCGGATGAAGAGCAGAACCGGACAGCACAGCGCAGCTCTGGTCGTAAGTGAAAGAGGCAGGGCCATCGCTGGGTTGTCCTTTATTGCAAGACCAATTTGAGAAAAGGGGACATGGTCCCCCCAAACTTTGTCATCTGAAGGACTAAAAAGTGACTCCAAGTGGTGCAAGCCTCATGACCTTGGCTGTATTTGCCAGGCAAGAATTTCAGGGTCGCTCCTCTGTTTTAATGTGAAAGCTGAGGCAAATATTAACAAGGGCTTTCTTTTTCTCTCATCACATAGCAGCCCTAACAACACTTGGCTATTTTTAAAACTGAAATTGCACAGTACTGGCTTCTCACACTAATTTGTTTTTTCCAGGAAAGCTTGACTCCCTGGAATACTTATTAAAGAGCTTTGAGTCTGTTCCTGGAGTTCCTTGCAGGCCAGCCTTGACTCCGGAGCCTGATGATAACACGAGTCACGGGTGTCCCCTGTCTCTCCTGGGACAGAGCCACCTCCCTGCATTCTCCCCTCTAAAACTCAGCATCGCTGGGATGCCTATGGCTTCAGTCGTTCATGTTAACTTTATTCCTTTTCTTTCTCTTCCTTATGTCACAGAAAGAAGATGATGGATGAGCAAATTAAGAAACTTACTTTTTTAGGAAACTCAGAGTGTCAGAGTGTCACCTTCAAAATTCTACCTGAGTTGCTAATCTTATTTTCTGAAGTTCACTTGCTTGTTCCTCTGAGGGTTTTTGGGAAATAATGATTTTTTTGAAGCTACAGATGTTTGTCCATAGAAATATTACTTACAAATATTATCAGTTTTCAGCCCAGAATTGCACTTTTGGTGAATAAACATAATAAAGGTGATCTTTTGGAATTTGGGATGTCATTGGGGCAATTATATACATAAAACAATGAGCAAACCAGCACAAGAGGTATCGGGGGCTCTCTGCTTGCCACAGGAGTCAAAGGAAAGGAAAATGTGGAAGAGAGTGTGAGGAAAGCATACAATTTCAGCAGTTAAAGAAAGGAGAAATTCAAAAAGTGAGGGATCAGAGGAATAGAGGCGGAGAAGTTGCTATATTAATTTTCCCATTGGTGTGGTCATTTACAGCATAATTTACACACACTCACACGCCCACTTTTAGACTTGTGCATCCTACCACTACAGTCATCCTTATTTTTATTCACTTTTCTTCAAAATATATTACACACAAATTTATATATCTCCTTTAATTCCATACCATAGTATTAAAAGTTACATCACCAAGGGTTCGTCCCATTGAATTAACATATTAACTGTCCAAGGACTCGGTTTTTAATTGCAGACATCCCAGGTGGTGTGGGGGTGATAAATAACAATTCTAACAGCAATTCCTTTTAACTGAAAGTCTATTTGCCAAGTGCTATGCTAAGCATGGTACCTGCAATGGTTCATGCAGTCCTTGAGCTCATGAGACCAAAACTTCCATATTTCCTGATTCAGACAGTTATCTTGCTGAAGGTCACATATCTAGGAAGCAGTAAAGTTTGTATTTGCTTTCAAGCAAAAGCAACACCTACTTTAAAAAGTTGCACTTACTTTTCTGAAAGTGAAGCTTAATGTGTTCTTTGTTTAATTGCCTTGTTTATTTAGGCTCTTTAACTTGAACCTACTATGGTCTTAAATCCTTAACTTGTGTTATATGTCAATATACATTTTTTGCCCCACGACTTACATGGGAGAAGTTAGATGGTATTTTCTTTAACATGACTGTGCCCTGCCTCATTCCTATTCATTTATAATATCACTGGGTGTCATGAACACTGCTTTGATGGCTCACATGGGTATACACACACACACACACACACACACACACACACCCCATCATCATCATCTTCAATTTAAAAAGGATATTGCACATCTTCAGTGATTTGTGAGTAGAAGAGAGGCGCATGTCAGTGAGCGCTTCTGAGCACCCACCAGGCATTCAGGCACTCCTGGTAGGAGAGAGTGGGAGTTATCTTTGCTACCCCAGCAGTGAAACGACTGTCTTACCAAAAGAGGTGAAACTAGACAAACGAACACTAGGGACACGATCTTCAGTGTTTAAGCAAACAGCAGTACAACATGAGGTACTGCACAATGGATGGAGGTCCTTGAGGACAAGGGCTGTGCCCATTGTCTGAGTTGAGCGCTGGGCCTCAGTGAAGGACGCCTCAGGCATAGCGGGTGGTCTTGCGAGTGAATGAATGGACTCCTGTTTGTTTGCATTTTGTAACAATCTTTTCTCTGGGTATCCAGCTATGTTAGGTAAAAAGTGTTCGTTTTTGATATGAGTAAAACTTGGGAAATTTGGGGGACTTTTATACAACCAGTTATTACCAGCCTTGAACTAGTGCTCAGTTTAGCTGCAACTCACACATCAATGGTCTCTTTTTACAGCCTCCCAAGCCTTGCTGCCCCATACTACAACCAGTTTCAAGAGGGGTTCATATGGAAATATCTGTGTTCTTGGTCAAAGACCTATGATGGGACTGTAATATTACAGTGTTGCTTGGGTGATAATTAAACCACTATTCAGAAGCAAGATACTGTGGCCAACATAAAAGTCTAATAGTCTGATAGAAATAAAGATATACTAATACCAACAGTCTAATACCAAAGCGGCCAATTGCTAGTCCTTAAACTACTGTGTTAAAATTAATGCTAGTGGGGCACCTGGGTGGCTCAGTCGTTAGGCGTCTGCCTTCGGCTTGGGTCATGGTCCCAGGGTCCTGGGATCGAGCCCCGCATCGGGCTCCCTGCTCCGCGGGAAGCCTGCTTCTCCCTCTCCTACTCCCCCTGTTTGTGTTCCCTCTCTTGCTGTCTCTCTCTCTCTCTGTGTGTGTCAAATAAATAAATAAAAACCTTTTAAAAAAATTAGTGTTAGGATGGTAGCTACACTTGTGAACACAAGGTAATGTATAGACTTGTCAATTCACAATATTGTATCCCTGAAACTAATGTAACATTGCCTGTCAACTATACTTCAATTTTAAAAAATAATAATAAAATTACTGTATTAGGTAGTGGGGAACTAAGCCAGTTGGAAGGCACACATGCTGTTTGCTGTGCTACGAGAGAGCTAGGCCACATATTTCCTGAGCAACTGCTACATGCTAGCAACTGCCCTGGGAACCTCACCCATTTAATTACTATTTCTCAAAACAACCCAATTGAAGAAGGATGTTATTTTTTTAAAGATTTTATTTATTTATTTATTTATTTAGGAGAGAGAGAGGGAATGAGGGAGGGAGAGCAGAAGCAGGGTGAGGTGCAGAGGGAGAAGCAGACTCCCCACTGAGCAGGGAACGAGATGCGGGGCTCAATCCTGGGACCCTGGGATCATGACTTGAGCTGAAGGAAGATGCCCAACCGACTGAGCCACCCAGGCGCCCCAAAGAAGTATGTTATTATACACATTTTATAATTCCAGCAATAGAGTCAGTGTGGTGGAGTTCCAAGCATGTAGAGAGGGAGGTCCTGGGGATCTGGGCAGTCTGACCCCAGAACTTGCACTCTCCAGCGCCATCCATGAGGTCCTGTGTGCCCTGAGGAACGCTTTCGGCTGTCCTAGCTGGTTCTCTCAGATCCCTTACAGTTCACACAAGTCAGAATGCTGTCCCTCATCCCTCTCTCCCTGGGTTATAGGAGTAGCACTTACCACCGCCCTCTTTGCACAAGGCATGTTTGAGTACAAAGTCTCAATGCTTTCCTCACTGTGTGCCCAAGACCCAGGACCTCCCTGTGCCAAGAGGAAGAATGAATGGAAAACTGGACCTGGGAGAAACAGCTGTAAGGACTGAGGCAGCCAAGACTGAGGAGAGTTTAACACTGTTTCAAGAGTTACCTGTATTATTATATGGAGGATGGTGAGAGTTACTTTTTTCCTCCACTGAGGACATAATGAACTAAACCAGGTTTCAATTTAGCACTTGAAATTTAGTTTAAAAATTATAAGAATCAATGCAGTTTGCTAAAGATTGAATAAGAATCTCATTTAACAGAATTACATTGAAAGAGACTGAATCTTTTTCTCCTTGGTATCTTTTAAATCTGATCCAGTTATAGGTAGAAGAGGGTTCATGATCAGTGTTTCTTAAAAATTGGTCAGCGGTGCAGTGAAATGAAAAAAAAAATACAAAAGAAAGAAAAGAAAGAAAGAGAAGGGACTG